CTGGATTTATTGATTGATTGATTGATTTTTGTGTTCTGTGACTTCTAGGGTTTGTTTTCTGTGACCTCTCTTTTGTTTTAAAATGTGTGGGTTTAAAATGTGACTCTAAAGTCTTTTTTAAAAAAATCAGAAACCTTTTTCTGAAGGGCTCTGGTTGCTGGAATGGTGTAAAATGTGGTTTAGACCAGTGGTTCTTAATCTTGGGTTACTCTGGTGTTTTTGGACTGCAACTCCCAGAAGCCTTCACCACCAGCTGTGCTGGCTGGAGTTTCTGGGAGTTGCATTTCAAAAACATCTGAGTAACTGAAGGTTAAAAACCTCTGGTTTAGACTCCAAAGTCTTTTTGTTTTAAAATCAGAAAATTTTCTCTGAGAAGCTCTGGTGCTGGAATGGTATAAAATAGGGTTCAGACTACAAAGTCTTTTGTTTTAAAATCAGAAAATTTTCTCTGAAGGGCTCTGGTTGCTGGAATGGTCTAAAATGGGGTTTTTTAATGATCATTTAAATCAGTGGTTCTTAACCTGGGCGATATCGCCCCCAGGGGGGCAATTTCATTTTTCAGGGGGGTGATGGAGCAAAAAGGGGCAATGTAGGGGCAAAGGAACAGAAGGGGCAATATGTGGGCAATGAAGTGAGAAGTCATCTCTATTGAAATGAAAAAGGACATTATCAAAAAGCATGCATGCGACTGAACTGGCCTCTGAATACAAGATGCCAAAATCAACCATCTCCACCATATTAAAGAAGAAAGATTTCTTTAAAGACATTGATGTGGCAAAATCAATGCAGTCGTGAAATTTGTATACAATATGCACGTCAGTAGAGAAAAACCAAACACACACATACTGTGACAAAAACATAAACTCCTCCTCAGAAGTAATAATAATAATAATAATAATAACAACAACAACAACAACAACAACAACAATAATAATAATAATAATAATAATAATAGTAATAGTAATAGTAATAGTAATAGTAATAGTAATAATAGTAATGATAGTGGTTAATGATATACATTAATCTTGGGAATACAACAAAATTTGAATCTGGAAAGTTTAACTACCCCACAGTCCACGGAGGCTCACGTGATCGTTCTTGTCTAACTTCTATGTCTTGTTCATGTCGGCTGTCCCGTTCAGTTGTCCACTGAGAATGAGACTGTGCAGGGGCACTAGTAGCTCACTCAGCATTCAGTGTGCCAACAGGCAACAACACATGTGCTAACATTGTAACTCTGTGTCAGATCTGGCCTACATGGCCCTGGTAAGATAACTACAGGATCAGGGCCAGCCTGACCCAGGAATTGGCTGGTGTTTGCAGGCTCAGGCCCTGGCCTGAGTAGCAGCTACTAGGCAACTCATGAGGAGCCCACCTGGAATGAATCTGGAAAGTTTAACTACCCCACAGTCCACGGAGGCTCACGTGATCGTTCTTGTCTAACTTCTATGTCTTGTTCATGTCGGCTGTCCCGTTCAGTTGTCCACTGAGAATGAGACTGTGCAGGGGCACTAGTAGCTCACTCAGCATTCAGTGTGCCAACAGGCAACAACACATGTGCTAACATTGTAACTCTGTGTCAGATCTGGCCTACATGGCCCTGGTAAGATAACTACAGGATCAGGGCCAGCCTGACCCAGGAATTGGCTGGTGTTTGCAGGCTCAGGCCCTGGCCTGAGTAGCAGCTACTAGGCAACTCATGAGGAGCCCACCTGGAAGCCTGGAGGGAACGCCTATTTAAGAAGTGGGTTTCCTCCCAGACTTTGTCTCAGCAATGCAACTGTCTTCTGCTTTGGCCTGTCCCATTCCTGCCTTGCCTGCCAGCCAACTTTATTGTTCCAGCTCTGTTACCCTGTGTAGTGGATTGGGCCCTAATGCCTTTGCCAGACTAGGCAACTCATGAGGAGCCCACCTGGAAGCCTGGAGGGAACGCCTATTTAAGAAGTGGGTTTCCTCCCAGACTTTGTCTCAGCAATGCAACTGTCTTCTGCTTTGGCCTGTCCCATTCCTGCCTTGCCTGCCAGCCAACTTTATTGTTCCAGCTCTGTTACCCTGTGTAGTGGATTGGGCCCTAATGCCTTTGCCAGGTGGCAAAAGGCTAGTAGCTTCCAGACTCTGACACTTTGTAAGTAAGCTGATTCCTTTAAAAAAAAATAACACTGACAACAAACATTGTAATTAGTGTTTCATAATTTTGTGGAAGTGCTTATGAAATGTTGCAAAACTCATGAAAATAGCCAAATGGTGTTGCTTGTGATTGTGCATGCATTGTCTATTTTTTATTTATTGCATGGTGGTGGACTGGTGGTGATAACTGAATGTGTATTTTATTATGTCTATCAGTTTATGTGGCAGACACCACAGACCCCAAGAACCAAGATGAAACATGCACAAAAGTGAAACTATCAAAAAAGAAACAAGGGAAGACTTTGGATTTAGAGTCCAAGCCTGCAAAGGTGTCTGATTTCTTCACGCAAGTTCCACAACATGATATACTTATTCTGGGACAAAACCAATCTGCATCATTAGAAGTGGACAGAAATACAGTAAATACCACTTTGATCACTTCAGAATCAAAATATGATGATGTTAGAATCACTGAGGTGTAACAAGCAGGTTCATCTAGCACATGCCTCATTGCTGATCTCACTTTGCCTGTAAATTCTCTTGATACCTCTACTGCCAATGTTGAATCAAGCTACTTTACAATACATTGTGGGGCTGAAATAATTGCTGAAAATGAAAGTTTAGTGGACTATAGTGATGGTGGTGAAATTATTCTGTCTGCAAAAGATGATGTAAATCAATGTAAAAAAGGATGCAGGGTTGTGGCTTGATTTCTCTGCTGATGATATGGCTTATTGGATTGCTTGTGGACCCAGTGACTGTCAACACCACAATGGGCCATTTGACAAGTCTTACCGGCATTTCAGTAGTGGCAAACCAGTAAGGTATTGTTTGCAGAAACTTTTTGTTGGGACAAAAGCCAATGATGAGAAATTCAAAAGAGAGTGGTTACTGTATTCACCATCAACAGGATCAGTTTATTGTTTCGTTTGCAAACTATTTCCTTCTTAAAATGTCTTTAATTTTCTTATAAGAGAAGAGTTCAGTGATTGGTGAAATAGTATTTTAATTGATATTCATGAAAAAAGAACTAATCACTGAGACTCTATGTTAATTTATTTAACTTGCAGACAAGGTGTGGGGTTGGGGCAACAGTTGAAGAAAAATTTAGGAAGAGTGTGATTACTGGGAACATGTCTTGAGGCATGTCATAGCTGTTATTTGTACATTAGCTGAACGTGGCTTGGTTTTTCGAGGAACAGAATAAAGGTTTGAATCATTGCAAAATGAGAATTTTTTAGGGCTGCTTGAACCCATAAGGGGACGTGGTGGCGCTGTGGGCTAAACAGCAGAAGCCTGTGCTGCAGGGTCAGAAGACCAAGCAGTCATAAGATCAAATCCACGCAACGGAGTGAGCGCCCGTTGCTTGTCCCAGCTCCCGCCAACCTAGCGGTTCGAAAGCATGCAAATGCGAGTAGATAAATAAGTACCATCTCGGTGGGAAGGTAAACAGCGTTCCGTGCCAAAATTACACTGGCCATGTGACCACGGAAAGATTGTCTTCGGACAAACGCTGGCTCTATGGCTTGAAGAGCGGGATGAGCGCTGCCCCCTAGAGTCGGACACGACTGGACAAAAATTATCCAGGGGAACCTTTACCTTTACCTTTTACCTGACCCCATAAGACAGTTTGATCCATTTTTAGCAGGCCACATTTTGAAATATGGAAATTCAGGGAAAGGATTTTTTTTTTCTTACCTCTCCAAACCACCTGTGAGGAACTCATACATCTAATTGCACAAAAGGTCCATGTCAATTGTTGATGAAGTAAAATCTTCTTGTTATTTTAGTTTGTCAGTTGATTCAACACCAGATCTATCATGTATCAATCAGTTAAGTGTTGTACTTAGGTACTTAGAATATGGACAGCCTATTGAACACTTTTTAACCTTTCTGGAAATGAAAGGTCATAGTGGTGAGGAAATGGTAAATCAGGTGTTGCAGTACTTAACGTGACGTTTGTAGGCTAAACTTTTCAAAATGTAGGGGTCAGTCTTATGACAATGCTGCTAACATGTCTGGACATTATAAGGGAATGCAGCAAAAATTTTTTAGAAGCAAACAAGTTTGCTATGTATGTGCTTTGTGCAGCTCACTTACTAGATCTGGTAGGCTGAATTGCTGTTGACTGCTGTCAAGAGGCAGTTAATTTCTCTACAGTGCAGTTACCTTTTTTTCAGCATCAAGCAGCTGGTTGAAAATTCTTAAAGGTTGTATTGGAAAAGAAAAGGTCTTAAAAACCCTCTCTGATACCAGATGAGAGGCATATGCTATGGCAACAGCAGCAATTTTGCAATATTTCCTTAAAATTTTAGAAGTATTAGCATATATAGCCAAAGACCAGTCACAAAAGGGGGGTGCTAGAAGAGAAATAACTAATATTGCAGATAAGAAGCAATAGCCAGAATTTGTTTTTATGTTGAATTTTTGCAATGAGATTTTGCAGAATTTTTACAGAGTAAGCCAAGTTCTACAAAATGAGGATGTGAACTTGGAAACATGTGCAGATCTGTATGTATCATTAGCTGACCAACTGTGCATTTCACAAGATGAATGTGAAAGATTCATTTTGTGCAAAGGAAATGCTACCAGATGTTGATTACAAGGCAACCACAACTCACAAATGTATCAGAAAGAAGGCACCCATTGACAGAGATGCACCAGAAGAATATCTGAATGCCAGAGATAAATTCCATATCACCACTTTTTACACAATTGTTGACAAACTTCAAACAGAGACGAAAAGGAGAGATATATATAAAGAAATAACAGGGAGATTTTTTTTTCTAAGTGGTGTGCCACATGATGTCACTTCATCATCTACTAACATTGAAAGATATTCTCAGTGCTGTAAAAGGCTGATTGATGCTTACCTAGAGGACTTCAGCAGTAATTGCTCATCTGAGGTTCAGCAGTTTCATTCATATGTGTGCCATAAGATCACTGCAACAAAAAATGTAAAAACAAGATTCAGTTCTGTTGAAGTTTATAAAATAATTGTAGAAGACAATACTGAGTGTGCCTTTCCAAATGTAAACATTGGCTTTCGTATATTTGTAACATTAATGGTCACAAATTGCTCAGCTGAGTGTTCATTTTCTTAGTTGAAGTATATTAAAAATCCCATCAGAACAACTATGCAACAAGGCAGACTGGATGTCTTATCTCTATTAAGTATAGAAGCACATGTGTTACACAAGATTAGTTTTGAGGATCTGATTAAAGACTTTGCAATTTAAAAAAGTAGGAGAAAATTTTTTAAACATAACGTGGAAGTATACAAAAAAGGCGTTTTCCATCTTACTGTAAGTTTTGTTTAATTTTGATAAATAAATTTTTATTTTATGGTTTATTGTTTATATTTTGAATTACATATATATGGGAGCACCAAGATCTTTTAAGTGCTTAGGGCCTCTAAGGGTTTTAATCCGGCCCTGAACTAAGGCATATATGACTTTTGCTAAGTCAGGTCAACTCAAGAAACTGATGTTCTGCAAAATCACTCCTAATCACTGCTGCCACCTGGGAGTCTAGTGGCAGTACAGGGTCAAGGAGCACTCCTTGATTATGAAACTGATATATCACAGGGAGCACAACCCCTTCTAGCACAGGCTGAATCCCCATTCTTGAATCTGACTTTATTGACCAACAGCACCTCCTTCTTGTCAGGATTTAGTTTCAGCTTGTTCACCTTTATCCAGCTCAAATTGAGCTCGGGCAAAGTACAAAGGACCTGACTGCTTCTACAGTGTTGGGGGAAAGGAGGCAGTAGAGCTTAATGTTATCAGCATGTTGGTGGCACTCAAAAGCTCTGAATGAACCTTCCCAGTGGCTTTATATATATGTGTTAAATACTAAAGAAGATAAGGTGGAGCCAAAGGCCTTGATGTCAAACAGTTCTCTCTTAGTGCCATCTTTTGTGTACATCCTGACAGGAAGAACTGGAACCACTGTAATACAGTACCCTCAATACACAACCTAGCCAGGTTACCCAACAAACCACCATCAAGTTATAGATCTCATCTGTGCCCACAGACTACCAATCCAAGGCATGCCTGGGGCCCATGTTTTTGTGCTTTGGGATAATCCTAAATATAACATTCATGGGGCTCTATGGGGCCCATGCCAGGGGCCCATGTTTTTCTGGTTTGGGGTGATCCTACCTATAAAAACCATAGGGACAGTTTCTCCAGGAATCAGAGTCCAAAGGGTGATTCCCTTTCCTCCTCCTCCTCTACTAGCTTGCTCTCCAGGTGGAAGAGAGCATCTGGGGGAGAGAAACCACTTTCATGCCTCCTTTTCTCTCCTCTATGTGTGTGCATGTGTGTTTGTGCCTTTGTGTGTGTGCATACTGGGTTTGCTGGAAAAAAAAACCCTTGACCCTTTCCTATTCATACTCTTTCCCCTCCCTTTCTGTTCTCCCCCCCCCACCTCTTATCAGACCCACCTGACAGGATATGACAGTGATGGTGATGGTAGCATTCATAGCAGCAGTGTGAGGATGTTTTGGATCCACGTTAAAGTCCACATGACTTAAGCACGAATCCAAGAAATATGCTTGGTCTCCTGGTTTATTCTTGCAGTGGAAATATGCCCGTACTTTTATTTAGCTCATCTCAAGCAGTTTTAAGATTTTACAAGAAACAGAGAGGATGACTAACCCAATTTATGCTGGCTTCATCACATTAAACACCTTTTGTGCCCAATCAAATTTAGCTATCCACTGATTCCAATAAGGGCAACTAAGCCTATGAAGACTCTACCCCAAACTTGCCTGCTTGCTTGCCTACTTACGCGCCTGTTAAACTCATCTTTTGGCCTTACTTCGCCTCCTCCACAGCACTAGGATATCATAGTCAATGATGTTGAACGGTTAATATTATTTGATTGTCCTAGTGCATAACTTATACTCAGCACAAGAGGCTAAGATTAGGACAGAATATGGAGAAACAGAATGATTTCCAGTAGGCAAAAAAAATGTTATGCAGGAGTGTAGATTCAACCTATATGCAGAACTTAGCATTCAGAAAGCAGGGGTGGAAGGAGTGAAATCGGTGAAAGAAGTACCAGTCATTTAAGATATGCAGATGAAACCATATGGCTATCAGAAAACAGCATTGATTTGAGGGTCAAAGAGGAATATGCAAAAGCAGGATTACAGATGAACATAATGACTACTATCATTTAAAAACATTAAAATGAAATATAATAATAAAATAATAATAAAAATAACATAATTACTGTACGTAACTTTAATGGTGACTACGTAACTTTAATGGTGACTGAAGAAATCAACTTTATTAGTATATTTACTAATATTAGTATATTAGCCCCCGAGAGTAGTCTTATAGGCCAGATGGGCGGGGTATAAATCAAATAAATAAATAAATAAATAAAATATTTTTCTATATTTTGGTTTAGTCATCAATCATAACTGAGAATGTAGCCAAGAAATTAGATGAAAAGTGAGACTTGGAAGGGCAACTATTAAAGAACTAGAAAAGAATATGAAGTTTATTGAACTGTCATTGAAGACAAAGGATGCATTCTGTGGGGTTCCTGATTGCCGTTTACAGATGTAAAAGCTAGACAACGAAGAAAGATGACAGAAAAAACCCACAGTTCCATGGAACCGCTGAAAGACAAATAAGTGGGTTCTACATGAAGTTATGCCTGAACTCTCATTAGAAGCTGAAAGAACTAAACTAATAGGCTAACTACATGGGCTGTTCAGCCCACTGTTTGGAGTGCTACAGAGAGGAACTGTGCACTCTTAAAAACAGTGATCAGACAACATATTTGCTAGAGCAGTGGTTCTTAACCTTTTTGAAAGAAACGCCCCCTTGAGCCATTGAGGAAGTTATCATCACCCCCCCTCCTATTTATTTATTTATTTATTTATTTATTTATTTATTTATTTATTT